TTAACCTTCCAGAGCAGGTTATACCTGCTTCATTTTATGAACCCATAATTCTTTTATGTGGGCTACCCAGTCTAGCCAAATGTAAGATTTTTTAAAGAGCATTTCACTGGGGGTTGTTGTTTAAAGTTACATGATGTGCCAGCAGTAGGTATGTCTGTTGTTGGCATTTCCTCTTCCCCTGTTATCTCTGCAGAGGCTGTTGGCGGCCTCCTGCATTGGAGTGTAGCAATCCCTGGAAAACAGAGGCCTTGAGCATTTCGGTGTGTTGGTCTCTGTGCCATGGATGACGACTGGAGACTTATTTAGGCCGGGGAATCTCTGTATAGCTCTTGGGGTCACAGCATAGTGTTACAGCATAACAGTCATTGGGTGGCCCAGGTTATGAATCCAGGTGCTTCTAGACATCAGAGTCAAAGCAGGCAGTAGCTTGAGTCTCCACATGCTATTAAAAGCTATCATGGTGCCGGGCAGTGGTGGTGCACGCCTTTAATCCCAGCACTCAGGAGGCAGAGGCAGGCAGATCTCTGTGAGTTCGAGGCTGGGCTGGACCAGCAGCCTCCAAAACATTACAGAGAAACCCTGTCTCGTAAAACCAAAAAAAAAAAAAAAAAAAAGCTATCATGGTGATTCTTGTCTAGGGTTGTCTACCAGGTTTCCGGATGAACTTCAAAATAATGATCTGTGTTTGCATTCTATCTATTTCCTCCTAGAGTGGGGCCTGGATGTCATGGCTCTTCACGTGATACCAAACATCTTATAACCTGGGATGACAATCCCTAGGCAATAGCACTGTGGGACTGTGGGCTATCTAATTTAGTGATAGTGGAGACAGTCCATTCAGTTAGTCTATGAGCTGTGATGTGGCAGATTTGAGAAAAAACCAGGAAGGGTAGTCTCAGTGGAACCAACTATTAGATTGTGTAAAGTCTGGTAACATGGGACAGACATTGGACTGCTGGGAAGGTGGCTGAGGGAAAAGAGTGGAGGACAGGGAAATATAAGGAGGGCTGGTGAGTAAGAGTAAGATTGTGGATGGGGACAAAAGTAGCATAGAAATTCTTTTGACACAAATTGTGCACATTTATCGGACAACAGAGAATCTTATCCCTGGGCCTGTGCAGATCTCCCAAGGAGCCCTTAGATGATGAGACTAAGACTCAGGGTCGGGGAGAAAGGTGGCCTTTTCTAGGATTCACCCACAGACTGAAACCTTCACGTGGCTGTTTCTCTTATGTCCTCATCCTGGCCATGTCTCTGCTTGAATGTAAGGTCCCATGAGGACCAGGAGCTGCCAGTAAAGAACAGTTCATCTGTCCCTTTATCCATCCCCCCACTGCCCTCTTCTTACCCAGTGAAAGGAAAGCTGTATGTGGGACCCCCAAGAAAAGATGCCCTGAGAAAAACCTTTCCCCAAACTAGAAGGAGAGAGAGGGAGAGAGAGAGAGAGAGAGAGAGAGAGAGAGAGAGAGAGAGAGAGTGTGTGTGTGTGTGTGTGTGTGTGTGTGTGTGTAGGATTTTCCCCCAGAGTGACATCTCCAGCTCCAAAACCTTGCATTTGAGCTGGCTGCTACCTGATTCCCACACACTGCATGGGGAGAATAACTGGCTTTGAAAGCACTGGTGACTTGAGCCTCCCATAGAGCACCTCCAGAAGAGCCCAGCCCTCCTTAGAGTTGAGAGCCAATTGTTATGGAAGAGTGTCCTGCCTTTGAGCCTCTTTCTGCACTGAGCATCACAGCCCCTCTCCACACTCTCTGAGGTATCTACCTGAGTGAGTGAACTCAGGAGGGTGGGGGAGAGAGAGCTGGCTCTCCTGCAGGTTGTGCAGTGCTACTCAGAGACAGTTTTATTTAGGCAGTAAAATCTGGGAGCTGTTCTTGGCAAAGGTTCTAATGAAATGGAAACCCTGAGATCTGCTTAGAACTGGAAGCATGTGGAACTTACCTATCTCATTTGGCTAGGAAGAGGGTCCCAGGCTGGAGATAAGATAGGCTGCAGAGGACAGTATTCTCAAACTACCCACCAGACCAGAAGTGTCTGTTATTGCTGAAGGACTTGCTAGAAAGGCACACCATTGAACCCCACTCAAGACCTCTAGGGGATTCCGCTACACACAGGGTTCAGTATGTTGTAGTTGTTTGAGATATGCACACATGGTTTGGGGACCACAGGTCAACCCTGGGTATCTTTCCTTAGTTCCTATACACCTTGTCTTTTTATGAACCATGATCCCTCTCTGGCCTGAAATATACCAAGTAGGCTGGACTGACCAGCTAGTGAGCCCCAGGGACACTCCTGTCAATATTGGAGTTATAAGCATGTGCCACCATGCCTGGCTTTCATGCTTGTATGGCAAGCTCTTTATCAACTGAACCATCTCCTCATCCTGTCATGGCTTTAAAGATATAGAAGGCGGAATGAGTGTGTGTGTGTGTGTGTGTGTGTGTGTGTGTGTGTGTGTGTGTGTGTGTGTCCCCAAGGTGGATCTGCCTCATCTGAATCTCTGCTGGCCAAGGCAGTCCCGAGCTGTGTGTCTCAAGAGAGGGGATGCTGCATGGACAGTATTTGGAGAGGGTCCTTTCCACTTACAGCTTCAGCTTCATGTGAGAGGTTTCTCATATTTTGTTGACTGTGTATAAGAAGGGGCACACAGTAGGTACCTCAGGCAAGGAAGGAAAACTTTTTCTAGTGCAGTCAGCTTTACTTCCAGGGAAAGTCCTCTACATAGCCCCACCCCAACTGATATTTATTGAAATGACAAATTAAGCTGGGTATGGTGGTGCACAATTTAATCCCAGCACTCTGGAGATGGAGGTAGGTGGTTTCTGTGAGTTCTAGGCCAGCCAGGGTGACATAGGGAGTCCGTGTCTCAAAAAGAGAGAAAAATGACAAATTAAAAAGTCCCACTTTTTAAGCTTTTCATTTGACTCACAAATCTTATTGGATAGTAAGTATTTGCACTCACTTTTAAGAGGCTTTTGAGTTATATTTAGGCTCATTTACAAATGTTTTTTTTCACTGTTAAATATTTAGCTCTGTCTTGGAAATTTAACACATTCAATTTCACTTTCAAGTTCTTCTGGCCATCTGCAACCAAGCCTTTCACTAGAGTTTGAGATTACATGAGCCATTCTTGTAATCTCAAGACAGCCTGGTCTCATAGATACAGGGAGGGCTGAGCGCTCTCCACACATCCCCATACTACTTCTGAGATGAACATTTGTAATCAGAATACTCTCTCAGCTTCTCTTACACGGTGCAAGTTTAGGGTGGAAATTTGCATGTCTCCACCCCCTAGTCATTAATACTACACATGGACTGGTTCTCTTGTCTTGGTGTTTAGTCCTAAATATCCTCAGGAAGGACAAGATACATTTTCCCAGTAGGAATATGATGCTCTGGCCCCATAGTTTGAAGGTGGCCTCCACAGTTGGTCTACCACCCCCCCCTTTGCATTTTGGAGATAGGTTCTCACTTACTCCAGGCTAGCCTCAAACTCTTGATCCTCCTGCCTCACTCTCTCAAGAGCTGGAACTATGACTGTGTGCCACCACACCTAGCTCAAATAGACTCCGTTGAGATTTATTTAATAGGTATGGCTGTTTTGCTTGCATGTATGTCTATGCACCACATACATGCAGTGCCCAAGGAGGCCAGAAAAAAGGAGTTAGAGCCCCTAGAACCAGAGTTAAAAGACGGTTATGAGCCACCACATAGGTGCTGAGAGATGAACCCAATCCTTGCAAGAGCAATAAGTGCTCATAACACCTTAGCTGAGGTGAGTCATCTCTCCAGCACCTCAAATGATTTGTAAGGGGGTAGTTTTAGGGCTTCAAATATAGCTTGATTGTAGAGTACTTTTCTAGCTTGTCCCAATCCATGACAGCACCTCTCTCTCTCTCTCTCTCTCTCTCTCTCTCTCTGTCTCTCTCTCTCTGTCTCTCTCTCTGTCTCTCTCTCTCTCTCTCTCTCTCTCCCTCTCTGCCTCTTCTCTCCCTCTCTGCCTCTTCTCTCCTCCCTCCCTCTCTCCCACCTCTGTGTGTGTGAGAGAAACACACACACACACACACACACACACACACACACACACAGAGAGAGAGAGAGAGAGAGAGAGAGAGAGAGAGAGAGAGAGAGTTTAAGTGAAGTGGGGCTGGCAAGATGGCTTATGGGTAAAGATGCTTATTGCCACCAAGCCTGGAGTTTGATCCCTGAGAACAACACAGTAGAAGAAAAGAACTGATGCCCAAAGTTGTCCCCTAACCTCCTCATGCACACTATGATGCACTTTTATGTCTGAGTGCGCATGTATGTGCAAACATGTACACACACACACACACACACACACACACACGCACACACACACCATCTAAGCAAATGATAGTAAATCTGTCCACGTTCTCTGAAAGCAGACTTGGAAAATAAATTCAAGGGCACATATCTGCATCCTACAGCGGTTTTACTCCCACTGTGCTGGTTTCATGTCAAGTTGACACAGGCTAGAGTCATTTGGGAAGAGACTCCCAACTGAGAAAATCACCTCATCAGATTGACCTGTAGACAAGCCTGTAGGACATTTTCTTAATTGCTGACTGATGGGGGAGGGCCCAACCCATTATGGGTGGTGCCACCCCTGGGCTGTTGGTCCTGGGTTCTACACGAAGCGGGCCCGAGCAAACTAGTAGGCAGTTCCCCTCCGTCGTAGTCTCCCCATCAGTTCCTGCCCTGACTTCTCTTGATGATGCTGTGATCTGCAGGGTGAAACAAACCCTCTCCTCCACAAGTTGTTTTTGGTCCTATTGTTTTATCACAGCCATGGGAATCTTAACTAAGACACCGGCCCATCCAAACCTCGCAATACAACCACTCAATGGGAGATCGTTAAGTGAGGTCGTGACTCACTGTGGGGCTGTGCAGCAAATGGAAACGCAGCACAGCCAACTGGGGCCGGGAGCATGAGTGAGTGAGGATGGCCAACGTCTCGTTCTCTCCTTTCTGGGTAGGTTGGCCTCATCCAGCTGGAGCAGGAGCAGGTGTTCATCCAGCCCCTCAACAACTCAGGAGGCCCATTCAGCGGAAGAGAGCATCTGATCAGGCGCAAATGGTCCTCCGCCCCCAGCCAGTCTACCTACGAGGAGGAGCCCAGGCAGCACTGCAAAGTAGTGACAGGTGAGTCTGGGCAGCAGAGGGGAAGGAGTGGAGCACACAGCTGACACTCTGTGGGCTCACATGTGCTGACGCCGTAAGCCAAAACTCGCCTTCTTTATACAGCCACGTGTCACGTGATGGCAGGGAGCTAGTGCTGAGGATTTTATCAGTCGATTTCCTTACTGCTTGAGCGTCACAGAGTGATGCATTTAGGTTAAGATGACCACAATGTCACCGGCTGGTAGAATCTTATAGGACCACAGCTGTATTTATCACCTCTCATTAATAGAAATTATTATTGGCATATGAGAATATTTTGGAAGCTGCTCTATTGGCCCCAAAGCCACCTTCTTTCTGTGTATATTAGTGTTGACATTTCATGTGTAACTACCCTTTGAAAGGTTTTATTTCTACAAGGAACCCAGGTTCTCATTGGAACAGAGCCTTAGTTTTCTGTTTTGTTTTTCCAAGATAGGGTTTCTCTGTGTAGCCTGTCCTAGAACTCGCTCTGTAGACCAGGCTGGCCTTGAATTCAGAGATTCCCCCTGCCTCTGCCTCCCTGTGCTGGGATTAAATATATACCCTCTTACTCAACTTCAGAGCCTTAGTTTTAAGCGTCAGGACCAACCTGATGCTTAATCAGGCCAGAACACATTATTACCAGGTACCAGGTTGGCAGCATACTACTTTTCCTGATGAGGCCATACTCTGAGCTTGCCTGCTTTTTCACCCTTGGATACTGTAGTGAGAGTTGCCTGCACAGCCTATGAAACCCTGGACCAGTAGCAAATTGGCATCACCTAGGAACTTTTCAAGCATCCTCCAGCTTCATGTCAGACCTGCAGTGTCTAGAGTGTCACAGACTGGTCTAGTCACCGAGGATTCAGATACATGATCACACGTGAAAACCACTGCTTAAGAAGTACCATTTGGGGAACCGGGGAGATTGCCAGTCAGTAAAGTACATGGCACACAATCACAAGGACCTAGAGCCACGCAGAGGGCAGGGTATGGAGGTGCATGTCCATAATTCCAGCATTGGGGAGCAGGGACAAGTGGCTTTCCAGAGATGGTTGGCCAGTTAGCACTGCTGTATTGGTGAGTGCCAGGTTCAGTGAGCAAATGTCTCAGAAAATAAGGGGGTGACTGAGGTAGTTGCCTGATGCACACACAATACACATTGGAAACAGACATATACTCCCCTTCCCCCAGTGTTGTTTACTTAGCTGTTCTCTCATATCCCGAGCTAGCAGGCCTGGGGTGTGACTTAAGGGCTTAAAAAATGAACCCTCTATTTTTCTCTCTGTACCTCTAATTGAACAACTGTGGGTTGTCAGGTATTTAAGAATATTTCATGGTCCTGTATCACTAGAAGTCTGCTTGAAAATGTTCCCTGGCACAGTTGGATAACCTGCATTGTCCAGGTAGCATTTCTTCCTGGGCTGGGACTTGCTTTTATACTTCTGGGCTTGTCTTTCTATTGAGATGTAAAGGACTCACTTTGGTGGTCTGGTAACCTTGGGAATATGTCAGGATTGCTTTACGGTGCAGCCCAGTCATTGCCCGAGGCTTGTTGCCATTACCCTTCTTTGTCTGTCTGCCTGTGGCAGGGATGGTTAGCAGTGACCAAGGAGAAAGAATGCAGCTCCAGTCCCCTGGCAGTCCTAACATTTGCCTGGTGGTGAACAGCACCCACTAGCAGAGGTGTTGGGATACGGTGTTGTTAATCTGTAAGTGTGTGGAGAACATCCGTAGTTATCCTGGGATGCATGTGGCCTACAGGTTGGACACTCTGCAGGGAATACTCAACAGGAAAGCAGCATCTTTGGGCCATTGAGAGTGGATTTCTCAGAACCTTCACACAGAGCCACACAATGACGTGAAGGGCAGATGGGTTTTACTCTCCTCACTCAAGCCGGCACCCCATCAGTTGCTAGTCTATGACCTGTCGCCCAGCATGTCTGCCAACGAGCTAATGGGATGTTTATCTGATGACCTGCTGCCATCCTCTCTGAGGGAGTGACAGCTAGAATTGCTGAGCAAATAACAACTGGTGCTTGTGTTTGCATTTTTGTGCTCGCAGCTGGTTTTGGAACACGCTTTCTGTTTAGCTCTTAATGGAGGAAATAAAATGAGTGGTCAGGGCGGGGTGGATGTGGGTAGAAACTGAGAGCGTCAATGCAGGCTGTAGAGAAATCTCTGAATTTGCCTCAAAGGTGATCTGTCCTTCCTTTCTCCCAAATCTTAGACCAGCTTCCTCCAGGTGCCGTGGCACAGGTATGTAGCACAGATGTCATGAGAGCGTCCAGAGGACGGCATGACACTGAAGACAGAAACAAACCTTGCTTTTGGTCCTTCTGTTTTGCCTGATAGCCTCAGTCCATGCTTCTACCATGTTGAGAAAGATGTTGGGCCTTTTACTGAACTTAACTAATAAGGCTTTTCTCATTTGGATTAGCTTTCTAACCCTGGGCTTTGGAACTCCGGGAGAATTAACTTCCTGGAACACTAGTAAAGTACATTCTTGAAGTTTCCTGTAAAGGTTAATCGGATTAATCCCAGGGTAGCATGATCTGTCTAGCTGAAGGTTAACTGTTATTCACTCTTTATTACTTGATCCTTAGACCTGACCCCAGAGTGTCCTGACTGGCTGGCTCCTTCAGGTGAGGAGGAGTCTAACAGGTCTTCCCTGAGTCACTGAGCCTACTTGAAAGATGAATGTTACTGATGATCTAGTAGCTTGTGTCTGGATAGGGTAGGGACTGGATGGACTAATACAGCCAAGGCCCCCAGGGGAGGAAGAACTTCCTTCCCAGAGATGCTACTGAGCTTGCATTTCTGGGAAACTTTGTGGGCTCCTGGTGAAGGGACAGGCTGATCCTTTTCCCTCCCAGACATTTCTTTTTAGAACTTCATAAATTGATCCATGAAATAAAACACTAGTTTGTAACATGGCAAGACAATATGGAGTCTATAAAACTTATTTTGGGTGCAACAGTGAAGGCCTTTTGGTTATTTTTTTTTTGTTGGTTAAAATGGCACTTCAGATATGTTGAAATGTTCCTTGAATTTTAAGTGGTCATTTTGACCTCAAAACTCTGTGTCGCTTCTGTGTTTTAATTTCTGCATATTAGACTTAGAATCTTCCACTGCTGTCTTCATGGCATCAAGTACCAATCTGACTTCTTTACTGTGGTTGGTGTCACATGCATGTGGTAGCAGTAAAAAAGAAAAATGATAAGTTTGCAATGAGTCATTTAAAAAAACAGCAATTCCATCACAGTTTTGAGTGATGGTGAGATTATTAGAATATAAATCTGTCCCAGAGTGGGGTCTACACAGCACTGAGGTATGTTTACAAAAATTCTGTTGTAACTGCTTTGTGAAATTATTAGTTGTTTTCTAGTGTCATCTGGTGCATATGTAGTAACATAGTCATTTTTTTATGAATGTCTAAATGATACTGTAACTTTTTAGAAATTGTATATGCTAATTATATAAAATTTGCATATATAATTAGCATATATATGCTAATACACAGCTGGCCAGGACTTGGGCTTTATCTCAACTAAGATTCATTAGTTAGACACAAAAGCTTAAACACTAGAAACACTGGCCTGGGCTCACAGGATTGATGGCTGAAGCAGGTTGGACTTCAGATTAGGCTTGACCTAGCTTATCTTTATATAATCTCCTAGTCCCCAGCTCCCCTCTCAACTGGCAGAGGCAGCTCCAACGAGGGGAAGGTCTTCTACTGAATTGGGATTTGAGGTAGGCTGGCTTTGGGTTACTGTCAGTTTTCCACTGCTTTCAGATGTGTGGAGCCAAGATCAGATCTACTTTTGGAAGAGGGTGCATCCCAGTCCCCAGGTGACTGTGGGGCACCACTCCACCTGTTGTCCCTGCCCTGGCTTCCTGCAGGCCACCACACTCCAGGCTAAAACGTGGTGTATGGACTTACGACACACTCACCTGGGCCTAACCTATCTTTCTAGCCCCACACTTGATTGGCAGCTCCCTTCCTATTTCCACAGTGGACAATGTAAACTGATCAACTCCTCGTTCCACTGTGACCAGGGAGAAGGGTGACAGTTGAGCTTTGCTCATTTAGGAAAGGCTTAATCCCTCTGGGATTGCTTCCTTTAGACTAGTGGTCAAACGACCTTGTCACAGGGGTCACATATCAGATATTTACATTACAACCCATAGAAGTAGCAAAAATTCAGTTATGAAGTAGCAATGAAATAATGTTATGGTTGGGATGTCACCACAGCATGAGGAGCTGTATTAAAGGGTCACAGCGTTAGGAAGACTGAGGACTACTGATCTAGGCTTTGAGATGTTAGTTCATGGTTAGGGTTTAATAATGATGATGATGATGATATTAAATGATAATAGACAATGTATATTGATTTTTTTCTGATTTTTCCCAGTGTTTATTGTTAGGAACAATGGTCTTTTATGTTCTGTATCTTACCTGCAATTAGAAACCTAAAGCAAATGGGTGGGAGCTGGGGAGGTAGCCCTACAGGCAAAGCTTTTGCCATGCAAGCATGAGGGCTGGAGGCCAGATCCCCAGCACCCATGTGACTGTCAGATGGGTGTAGTGGCATGTGAGATTAGCTCTATTGGTGAGCTCTGGGTTCAAGTAAGAGACCCTGCCTCAATATATATGGTGGAGAGCAATTGAGAAAGATACCCTATGTCAACTCTGGCCTCCACACTCACATGCATACATATGTATATACACACTTCCACATATATCAACATACATGCAAATATGCACATATATATATGACAAAAATGGAATTAAACTGCTACTTTGAGTTTCTCCATTCACTACTTCACATACCAATTTGCATATAATGTGCAGAATGTTTTTCTATGAACACTAAGGGCAGATACTAATTTAATAATTATGCTGCCATGAGGAACAGAAGGAAGACTTGCGTTAGAGGCTCAATTCCATCTCCCTTTAGTGAGACTTATCATCTCGGTACATCTGTCTCAGTCTGCTGGGT